CCTGCAGCTGGGGTCTCCACACAGAACCCCTCCTCAGCCTCAGCACAAGCTTGTCCGGATGACCTTTGTCCCCCAAACACAAAGTCTGACCCAGGACCCCCCTCAAGCCCTGACTCCCAATCCTTTCTACTCAACTCAAGTGACAAGAAATGGCCAATAGTTTAGGTGGTGTTGGGTGCACAGGGACATTTGCTTTTCTGGCCCATGCTGTAACGTTGCTGGCATTTTAAAGATCTCAGGGCTTTGATTCAAAAACGGCAGGATGCCGGGGACCCCAGACAGCTTCCTGGAAACCTGCCTCTGGGCCTTGCAGCCCTCCCATCCCACCAGCGCTCAGAATCCCACCAGCTGCTCAGAATCCCTCCAAGCCACAGACCCACAGTCTTGAGTCCTCAGATGGCCCAGGCGACGTGCCTTCAAAAAGTGATCCCGGTGGGGCTGCAGGACACACTGCGGATTCCAGCAAATCCCCCTCCCAGAAAGTGAGGGTACCACTGGACAAACTGTCCAAAACAAGCCAGGTCAGGGTTCCAGGAAGACACCAGAGGCACAGGAGTAACTGAGGAGCATCTGAAGGCCAGGTAGGGACAGTGAGAATCTCTGGTGTTTTTGCCTAGGGGCAGCTCCGGTCCCCCTAAACCCTCAGTGGAATGGCTTTACTGGGGCATTGGGGGAGAACCATGTCTGGAGGACCCGTGGCTCCACTGTCCGAGGTCGCCGACTTGATCAGTGCACAGGTGGGGAAAACCGGCCACACCCCGAAGAATTTCTAGAAACAGTAGCCATCTCAGTGGTAGCTGACCTGGGAGGTCAACCTTTCAGCTGCCTGAGGTGAGATCGAGGCACAGACCAGCACACTAGCCAGAAATGGAAGAAGGAGAACCAGTTCTTCATTTCATAGTTTCTAAGTCACCGGTTTGTTCCTACGGTTAGTATATTTTGCATCCTGGGAAATCTCTGCCTGTCTAAGGTCTTGAAACTGTTCTCCTCATGTTCTCTGCTGGAGAGGTTCTTGCAAAATCTCTGGTTTATAGGTAAAAATCATCTGGAATTGACTTTGGTTGGCACACCCATGCTGGGAAAAGGATGAAGCTTCCCCAAAATACTAAAAAAAGAACTCCCGTATGATCCCACTATCAGGTAGACCTTTTCAGCAAATAAAGTCAGTTTCTCGAAGTAAGATCTGCATTCTCCCACCCAATCTCCCTGAGGAGGGGCGGCCACCCTTAGCGACCCTCCCCTTGAGGCAGGTGCCTCCCTGGACAAGGGGCTACCCCAGGGCTGGAAGGTCTCCACAGCAGCACATCCAATGTCCTGATACTAGGAGGCAGAGTACAGCACCAGGCCAGTGAGGGTCAGGACACACTACCCCGAATACGGCACCTTGGCAAAATAAATACAGAAGCTAAAAGAACTTTTGCATAGAGCAAAGCAAGAAGGTCTCTCTGACCCCCAGCCATCAGCCCTTTTTCCCTTAAGCAGGTCAGAAGACTGCCATGTGGAACTTTCTCGCCCCGGACCACAGAGATGACGTGCTTATCACCAGAGTCAAGGAATTTAGGACCACGGGGTCTATACACACACACCTGGTTAAACTAACCCTTATCTTCCTAGTTACTTCTTTACCGTTTACGAGCCCTAGTCCAAACCCCTGCGTCTGTCAATTCTTCACACACTGACTGCTTCTTTGTCTAAAAGGTAGAAGAGCTGTCTGCTCCAGTCACCTCTGCTGGTCTTCATGGTCTTGTGAGGCTCCCACCAAAGCAATCCATACATTTTGCTTGCTTTTCTCCTGTTCATCTGTCTTTGTCAATTTCCAGACTCAGCCGGGGACCTTAACAGGGTTGAGGAAAACTTTGTCCTCTCTTGCAGCCCTGTGGGGCAGGGGGTGGGGGGTCAGGAAAACCCATCCCATCTTCCTGGCTTTGGTTAAACCCGACCTCTGCTGGGAAGCAGCACAGGACTGTGCACGGCTGGGGGAGCCAGAGAGAGGCACGTGGAACATGTAGGAGCTCCCTGACCCCCGGCCGGGGGACTTGGCCCCAGTGACAAGTCCAGGGTGTGATTATGAATATTATAATGGAAGCATCCTGAACATCAGACCTTCCCCACTCCAGGCTTCATGATTTCTGCTCGTTGTAGTTGCTACTGTTGGCTTAGTGCTTTTCTGAACTAACTTTGTCAAGTCTGTATTCTTTGCTGTGTGTGGCCACTGAATCCCTGTGCTGTTAACTCAGTGGTCAGCCAGTGTCTGGGCAGAGAGGTCACCCCTGTTTCCGAGCTATGGGCTACAGACTGGAAGTCCCCACAACCTCCTCTTCAGGTTTGAATAATCTGCTCCAGTGGCTCATGGAACTCAGAGAAACATGTTACTTACTAGATGACCAGTTCATTAAAAGGACAGAACTCAGAGCCAGGCAGCTGGAATCGATGAGCAGGGCAAGGTGTGTAGAAGAAGCTCGGGGCTCCCCCGCTCTCTGAGTTAAAGAGGCCTTTGCCCACCTCCACTCCGACCTTCGTCTGTACTTCCTAACTGATGACGTCCTTCCTTCGGGCTCATCTGTTAACTCAAGTGAAAGACCTGGTGGGCACCAAAATGACTCCTCAAGTAATAACCACTGCTGATGTCCTGGTGATTCTTGGGCACAGCCATGAATCTCAGCTTCTTCATGATGGGGTGCAGCCCAGCAGCTGTGGATCCCACAGGTCCTCCAGGGGCAGCCCAGCAGCTGTGGGTCCAACAGGTACTCTCGGGGACAGCCCAGCAGCTGAGGGTCCCACGGGTCCTCTGGGGACAGCACCTTAATGGGCTTATGGTCCAGCAAGTACCTGTTCAGGTGGCTCTCATTGTGCCACACAGCCTCAATCCCAGTGGCCAGGTTGACCCCCATTGCCTGGTGACAGGCCAAGGTCAGTTGGTCCTCTACCACCGACCCCACAAAAAAGGTCCTCATGTAGTAAAAGTCGCCCTTGTCCCTGGGGATGTGTGCCTGGGACTGTGGCCAATGCTCGTAGCTGAAGTCCTTGCGGGCTGCCTGGTAGAAACCGGGGTGCAGGGTGCCGAAGAGGGGGGACAGGATCTCCATACTCACGTGGTCGCAGAACTTCATGTCCACCTCTGTGCATACCAGGTAGTCCACCTCACGGAGGAAGTGTGGTATTATTCTTAGAAAATATATTGTAAGCCCTCAGGAGTGATTGTGGAAGCAGCTGAAAGGTCAACAGCGTTCCTGTTCTCAGACTATTGAACGCAAGGGCCCAGTAGGAGCAGTATCCCATGATCCCCAGGGTCAGGGCACAGGTTAGGAGCTAGGAAAGAATGTAACCCTCAGGTCCCCTTTCTGCACCTGGTGCTTGCTAGCACAAACATCCCGCTTTTCCCTTATCCCATGACTGCCTCCCTGAGTGCCTGCCCCTAGGGGAGGGTGCAGGACTGCTTTACCGCTTCAGGATACTTGCCATCCCTTTGTCCTCCTCTCCCACGCTTTGAGGCAACTGCCCTTGCTTTTCTGATAAAAAAATGAAATAAAAGCAGAGGCAGCCCTGCATGGTCACTCAGCTGCTGGGCTGCCCCCCATCATGAAGAAGCTGAGATTCATGGCTGCCCAAGAATCACACATGTTTCTCTGAGTTCCATGAGCCACTGGAGCAGATTAGCCAAACCTGAAGAGGAGGTTGTGGGGACTTCCAACTCATGGCAGGTGGGGACAGAACCTTCAGGGGGTCAGCCAGGGGAGGGGACCTGCAGGGTTTGCCCGGGAGCTCAGCACAGGGGGAGTGTTCCTGGCTCCAACATGCTGACTGTGGGGCTGCATGGGTCACAGGGTCACCTACCCTAACCCTAACCCGTTCTTGCAACTTTCTTCTACATATGAAATTACACCAAAATAAAAGGTTTAAGACGTCACGTGCATCGTCATGTGCGTGATCTGACCCCAGCGCCCTCAGCAGCTCAGCGTTAAGAGAACGAGAGGCCTCCCTTCCTGTCCCTGGAAGAAGACACCTGGAATCACGCGAAGGAGGGAAAGCAGGCCTGGGGAAGAGGAGAGCGACACATTTTTACCGCACATCCTCTGCTGCCGCGTGACTGTCTTACGTGTGCGTGAGCAAATCAATCAGGAAAATGAAAACGCAGAAACTCGCGGGAAGGAACCCTTCTGCACCCACAAGGGGAGCAGCATCCTCAGGGACGCGGCCTATCCTTCAGCTCCATGCTCGCTCCGCCTCCGCCCGCCTCCCTGCTGGGCAGCCCAGCCGCGTGCCTCACGCGCCACCTGCTGGCGGAGGGGGCACTGCTGCCGAGGCGCGCCAGCCCTCCGTGCCACCCTGGCACCCACCCTCCACCATGCGTGATCTCGTGACCGCGGCCACATCCCACCTTCCGGAGAGCCCCCGCAGCCAGCAAGATGCCCGATGCAGCGTGGCACTCCGCAAAGATGAGACGTACCGAGGAAAGGACGCAGCTTCGAGGGGAAGCCCAGCAAATGGACTTGGAGGCGAGCACCCGCCTCAGAGCCTGGTGGCAGAGCAGCCCCGCGGCCATGGTGACCCCCGAGAACCACACTGCTGACTGTACGGCCCCCTGCTGGCCCGCCCACCCCAGCCCCGCCTGGGCTCCCAGGGTGTTCACGGCCTATCCCACACTTTACACCAAGGAAGGTGTAAAGTCAGCAGCACTCAGGACCCCGGTCACCAGCTCTGTGTCCCCACGAAGACTCTGAAAAGCAGGGACACCAAGCTGGCCAGTCCTGTGGAGCAAACCAGTTCAGCCCCAAGAAGCCAAAGGAGTTCAATCGGAGCATTAAAAAATAGAACAGAACAGAAAATACCGGATCAATGGCCCCGGAAGCCCATGACCAACACACAGCTGAGGTAAACCTCAAGGACAAATGGCTCATCTCTGTGACTCGCGCAGGACGGCACAAACACATTGTCCTCTGACAAAGTAAACCACACGTGGGGGCGCAGGTGCATGTGCCCTCCGCCGGCGGGGGACTCACCGAGGTCTGTGTTCGGGCCGGCAAGGAGCTGCTTGAACTTGTCGAGCCGGGAGGCCTCTCGTTCACTTAACGCTGAGCTGCTGAGGGCGCTGGGGTCAGACGTGCCACCCACGGCGGCCGCCACCGAGTGCGGGAGAGACTGGGACCGCTGCAGAGGAGCAGTGTCGCCGGCGCTGTCTGGGGAGAGAGCGCGCAGGGGGTGAGGATGGCCTCCTGGCCCCCCCCCATGGCCCTGTTCCCCAGTAAGAAGGCTCCCACCCGCGCCACCTGCCCTTCGGGAACGCCACCGTGCCACAGCCATCCCCTCCTCCCGTAACCGGCCAGTGCAGACCCGCGTGACCGGGGCAATAAAGTGAAACTAGTGAACACCCAAGAAGCCCACTGGCCTTATTGGTAGAGCGTTACTCCCTGGGAAAACAGACGTGCCTCACACAAAAGCAAAACGACAACCAGAAAACTCTAGACCCCCCCGGCTCCCCCACTGCTAGCAGGCCTGCCCAGGTGACACAACCCAAGGATCTGCTGGTGCCTGTGGGGCTCACCTGGGCCTGAGCACAGAAGGAAGCCACCGAGCCACACGTGGAGGAGCATGAAGCCCACAAAGGCACTGCACCCCTTGGATCTCCCCAAGCCCCATGAGGGAGGCGGGCAGGGACCATCACCAAGAGAAAGCACAGGAAGCTAGAGCGCATGCAAGCAGGGGAGGGGCAGCAGGCTGCAGGCCTGCCCAGCACCCCCCGCCCCAGGGCACCACCTACCACCACGCACAAAGGCCCACCGACGGGGACACACAGGGCCGAAGTGAAACCGTGCGTTAAATCCAGGAACCCGGACCAGGAAGAGCCACAGAAAAGAGCCCAAGGCCCAACACCCACTCAGAAAGAGCCCCCAGGGACCAACGAGGGGCCCACAGGAACAGGCAGCACCAGGCTGTACACCCCCAGGTCTAAATACCCTTGAATGGTCACATCTCCCAGAACTGAAATTTAAAGTAGAGGAAAAAACCAACTCCAGGAGATGGGGCGGGAACCAAACAAAGTGAAGAAAACATGCCGGCTCCTGGCCGCCGCTGTCAGACTCCCACCGACCCCCTCCTTCCCGCAGAGCTGACTCATTACCCTAAAATCGAGGCCCGGAAATGCTTCACACAGAAACTCTCAGGCTACAGAGGAGCAGTGTCTGGCCCAGTTAAGCTTCCAGAAGAGCCTGGAGAGGTGGGCATCGAGGTGAGGGCAAGTCCCAGCCCCTCCGCAGGGCTGACCCCTCGCTTGCAGGAGGTGTCCCCACCGGCCTGCCCTCCGGGAAGCCCGGGGCAGCGATGCTCAGACCCCCTCCTCCCCGCCCTCAGAATCTGCCACTCCGCTGTGCGTCATGATTCCTCAGGAAAGACGATGGGCGGGAGGAGGGATTCCTCGTTCTAACGCGGAACCAAACGTGCTGAGTTTTACTTCTCCGCCATCTTAGAGAGCATCCCTGTGATTTACTCCGACATGTAAGGACCACGTCGTCCTGAGCAGAGCACACATCCGGTCCCCCTCTAAGATGGGACGGGCAGGGTTTGCAAGGCACAGTGATGCCCCCTGCCCCCCGAGGAAGCAGGAAGGTCAACAGCAGGTCTCCCTGCTACTGTAAGTGGAAAACACATCAGTGTCCCCCTCCGGGGCAGCGAGTGTCCACCCAGGACCCACTTGCAGCTCAGTCCCCATCAGCGATGGACAGTCCTCCCCAGCCACGCCCACTGAGCCCTTCGCAGCCAAAGGCGCAGGCTCCCCATTACGCCAGCGGCACCCTAGACCAAGCAAAGGGCATCTGACTTCAGATACAAAGGTACAGATACCTCAGACACTGATTAAGAAAGTCAGGACAGTCGAAAGGTAAGCAGGAGGTGCGGGGAAGGCCAGCCGGAGACCCCTGCTGCAGCATCCCGGAACTTTCAGGCTGCCATCTACCCAGGGCTGAAGGCCAAAGGTGAGGGCAGCCAGCAGGCCCTGTGGACGCTGCGTGGGGTGACGTGAGCTCCCACGGTGGCGCACCATAAAGGGACAGGCACCGACACAATGCTGGCAGTGGGAAGGGCAGGCAGCACTCTGATCACACTGGGCCCCGTGAAACACAGCGTCCAGGCCCCAGAAACACAACTCCGCTCCGAGGAGCACAGTCACATGAAATGGCACTCACAGGTCCCTCACCTCAACAGAGGCCTGGCCTGGCCCTGCGCCGTGGGGCCGGTGCAGGGACAAGAGTGGGGCAGAACATGGAGGAGGGGAGAGCCCGCGGTCACCAGGCCCTGAAGACACCTCAGTTTAGCTCAGCAACATTCACGTAATGACACAGGACCCCAAAGGGAAACAAAGGTAATGGGACATGGTCCCTGCCTTGGGGGAACTTGCAAACCACGTAGATGAGGTGTGCAGTCAGCCAGCCCAGCCCACCCGGCACCTCCCCTCGGCTGGGATGGCCCCACCTCCTAAGCCTGGAGCCTCACCCTACCGGTAACCTTAGAGACATCACCTCCTCCCTGAAGCCTTCCCTGACACGTCCTGGCCCTCCTCAACAAGACTGAACTGGGACTTCTACCCGTGGGTGCTTCTGGGTCCTGTCCATCACTCCAAGGCTCCATTCCACCCACGTAGGTGGAAGACTCAGATCCTTGTGTTTCCCCACTAGACTGCCTGCCAGTCAACACATCTGCGCCAGGCCCAGCCCAGTAAGAATGAGGGCTGACGTGGTCGTCTTAGCGCCAACACCGAGTAAGCCATCCCCACGACTAACAGCCCACCAAGGGAACTGAACAAAGGCCCACGAGTTCTGCGCACCACTGCCAGCCACCCGTGGGGTCGGCTCCCTGAGAGGCCACCTCAGGCTCCAGAGTGGCCCTCTCCCCCTTGGCACTGTGCACGGTCGGGCCAGAGAGTCCCCTGGGGGCCAGGCACCCTGGTCTCTGCCTACTTCTTGCCAGGAGCACACACTCCCTGCCCCAGATGTTAACAGGAAAGGTCCTAAAACAGGACCTCATGTGCCCTGGGGGCGGCATCACCAGCGAAGAGGCCCTGCTCTCTGTGGGGAGGTCAGCAGCTAGCAGCAGGCCCTGGCCTCAGACGCCCTGGACTTGAACCCTACCCCACCGCTCAGCATGCTGGGCGAGCCACGTGACCTCCCTATACCTCCCCCGTAAGCTCTCTCCTAGACTGGCTGCAAAGTCAGAGGGATCTGTTCATGACGAGGGCCCGAGACAGTCTCTGCCCCACAGTAAGCGATGGATAAACAGTAGCTGCTACCATGAAATGAACTGCTCACAAAAAGCCTGCTCAGAAAGCAAAGCAAAGATGGTTGATGCGCAAGCGGGTGGAGGCAGAAGGCAAGCACAGTAATCGGCCCCTTCCCCAGCATGAGCCGCTTGGGGCATCCTTCACCTGGCTTTTACAGGAGGAGGCCACCCCAAGGCTCCCCACCCTGGCAGGATGCAGCCCAACTGCATACCTCGCCATGGGCTGAATGCTGTGAGGCCACAAAGTCCGTATGCGCAAGTCCTTCCCCAGACTGGACAGTGTTAGGAAGAAGGGCCTCAGGTTTAGAGGAAGTCAGGAGGGTGGGGTCCCCTGATGGGATCGGTGCTCCTGAGGAGTCACGAGACAGTCTGTTTCCCCTCTCTAGTCTCCCCCATGTTGGGATACTGTGAGAAGGCAGCTGTCTGCGCCCCGAAGAGAGCCAGGACCCAACCGTGTTGGCCGCCTAACCTGACTTCCGGCCTCCAGGACTAGGAGACCTAACTTTCTGCTGCTCATGCACCATCGGCCTGTGGTGCTCTTCGCAGCAGCCCCACGGCCTGAGAGAACAGGAGACTGCCCGCTCAGCCGAGATGGGCCCCCACCTCTACGGGTGCTGAGGCCCGCCCCCCAGCAACTGCTCAGATGGCAGGTGTCACAGAGGCTCTACCCAGGCCCCAGAGGCGTGGGGCACAGCAGAGGGCAGAGGAATCCGGGGCACCTGCCAACTTGAACAGGCACCCAGGCTGAGGGTACTGCCCGGCTGGGGCGCGCAGGCGGTAATCGGCATAGGATGCGTCAGTCTCGGGGAACCCCGACCCACTCGCAGAAGCCCTAACCAGATTTTCATTTTTAAACTCAAATACTTTGAAGTTCAGCCTATTTTGGAGAAAAATAGTTCAGATTCCAATATGAAAACTGGTCAAAGGAACTAATTCACAGCGTTCTCACCCACGAAGACGTGTGATGTTCCAAACATTAGTCAGCTCCCGGGAAGGGTTTCTGAAAACTAGACAGGGGGATGAACGCCAGCTCCGTGGTCCCAGCAGGGCAAGCTGAGGCTGCCCGATGCCCTCTTCTCTCCTCTGTAAACAAGGGGCAGTCCCCCTGACCCCCAGAGACCCTGGGAGAGGGAGGCCGTGAGTCCGCCGCGGTGCAGGCCGGCCCCTCTGCCACCAGCTCCCCACGCCTCACTGCCTCACCTCACTGATGCTCACGTGTCACCTTCTCAGGAGGGCATCTAGACGCTCTGACTGAAGATTACGCCCCAGATCCAGGCTGCTGTCGCCACCTCCCACCTCTGTCTCGACCCAGGGCGCTTGTCTCCTCCCCGCACGCTCCAGGCCTCCTTACTGACTCAACGTGTAGGTCGGTGCTTGTCCCCCTCACCAGAACACACACTCCAGGCCAGGGACTTCCTGGGGGCACCCCAAGCCCTAAGAGTCTGGCCCATCACAGAGGCTCATCAAACACTGCGTTGTTTTACATCATAGACACCCCCAAAAACAAAAAGCAAAACTACTGAGAGCCGTCTCCAGAAAGGCTACTGAGCACCAGGCACGGGGTACAAGACATGCGCTGATCGCATCCTTGAGTTTATGACCTGGAGGCAGTCATTCCACACCCCAGACTCTGCCCCCTACAGACTCTGAGCCACGTGCAGGTGTCCCGGCGGGGGAGGGGGTGTCATTGGAAGCTGCCGGAGGAGGTGCAGCCTCTGAACGTGCAGTTGGCCTGGCCCCTGAGCTGGAAATGTCCCCCTGGGACAACCGGGGCACACTTAGAAGGGAGACACAGTCCCCTGGGGCCTGGTGCTCACTGTGGGCCTCTCACAGCCAGGCCACGAAAGCCACACACCACACCCTCCACCCGGAGGAGAGAAAGAAGCACTCAGCTGGGGACACAAAGAAAAGCCTACGGCTTCTCCTGCCTGGGAAGGCCTGTGGGCACGTGGATCACAACCTCAAGGTCTTCCAAGGGCACGAGCTCCTGTGGCAAAGAGGACGGAACGCCCGCTAACCTCCCGCACTGAGAGGGCTCCAGCCCCTCTCCCTCGCAGCACTGCCCCTCATCTCCTCGCGCCCCCGCCCACCTGCAGGACAGGATGTGTGGCTCTCGCTGACAGACTTCACCAGCCGAGGTCACCGCTCAGGACCGAAGGAGGCTCTGCCGAAGGCTGTGGCTCCTGCTCGGGGCCCGGCGCCTCCTGCGGCTTGCGGCGCTCCTGCCGCTGGCTGTGGTTGCGCAGGACGCGGTGGGCCGTCTCCATGACCACGTCGGTGTTCAGGCTCTCGGCTGCCACGGCCAGGAGCCCGTCATCGTCCTCGCCGGCATCCCAGGCGTCGCTGGTGTTGCTCTCAAACTCCGGGAAGGTGCTGATGCTCTTGGCCTTCACGGGTGTGGCGGGCGCCTTGGGCGCGGCCTTGAGCAAGCTGCAAAGCAAAGGCAGACTTCAGCTGTCCCCTCGGAGGCTGGAGCGGAGTCACCCCACGACCGGTCAGAAAGGAGCCCATGGATGAAAGGTGCACATTCAAGCTTCCAGTGTCAACTGAGCTGAGGGTGAAGAGCAAGCACAACCCAAAGAGGCATCCGAGAGAGGACTCCTGGGGCACCCAGGGGGCTCAGTCGGTTAAACGTCTGCCTTCGGCTCAGGTTGTGATCCCGGGGTCCTGGGATCGAGCCCCACATCGGACTCCCTGCTCGGTGGGGAGTCTGCTTCTCCCTCGCCCCCCTCCCTACCCCCCCACTCTTGTGCCCTCGCTCTCTTTCTCAAAGAAATAATCCTAAAAAAAAAACAGAAGAGGACTCCAAGGATTCGGGGGCAGGAAGGAGAGGCTCTCGAGGGGCAGTACCGCTGAGCAGTCTCTGCTCAGTGACAGAAGCCACTCAGGAGGAACCCCAGCACCGCAGTCACGGCATTCACAGGGAGTCCCCAAACCTCACACGGGCCAGTGCCTGGAAACCTCCTAAGGCAGCAGTGGGGGCGGCGGGGGCAGGAGCGGCTGTCCTTCGGCGTGCAGACGCGACACAGCACCACTAGAGCAAGAGCCCCCGCGGGGGGCCCAGTGACACCCGCCAGCACGGGCGGGGGGTCACACCAGCCCCCTGCGTGGCTCTGGTGGAGGAGCCAGACACAGGGGCAGAGCGTGCAGTGGAGGGCAAGGGAAGTGAGCTGACCACCGAGAACAGGCCCGGGGCCAGGACCTCCCGTCAGCTAAGGGGGTGCCAGCTTCGTGCTCTCCTCCACTTTGGGCTGGGCTTCCTCCTCTGCCCTTGTCCGGAGGACCAGTCGTGCGAGGCCCTGACGCGTGTCTGCTCGAGGGAAGACCACGCTGCTCCCCTCAGGACCCCGAGGAGGCCGGCGGGTCACCAGGACGCCCAGGCGCGTGCGTGATGCAGCATGACCACAGGCCTCACTTACGTGCCGTGTAACAGTGGGTCGAAGGGGGGGTGCTGGGCGCCGTACACATGCTGGATGCTGTTTAAAAAGAAAGGAAAACCGATTAGCTTCTCTCCAGCTTCCTCAAGAGCCCACACTAACTCGGGAAAAGGACCAGTTCCCAGGAACCTACACGCCTGAGCAGCAACTCTCCCTCAGCTGCCACGGGTCCCGAGGGCCCGTCTGGAAGGGATGAATGGCGCCACACAGGTCCACGCCACACACACAACAGGGCATTCAGCCTGCCGGGCAAATGGGCCTCAGCCCGGGGAGCCGCAGCCCTGACCGCATCGGCAGGGCCTCAGGCGCCGCTGCCGACGAGGCTGCTGGGAGCTGGGAGCCACTCAGCATCGCCCAGTTCCAGCAGCCTCTGCTCCCGGACCGTGTGCCAGCGGCAGGACTACGAACTAATGCTGAAATGCCCGTCTGGAAATTCCCATCTGCTGCCATTTCGTCAAAGACAGAATGCAGAATCACAAAAAGAAGATAAATGTGTTTTTTAAAGACTTAATGATTTTATTATAAAAGTTTTCTGGGGGCGCCCGGGGGGCTCAGTCGGTTAAGCGTCTGCCTTCAGGTCAGGTCATGATCCCAGGGTCCTGGGATCGAGCCCCACATTGAGCTCCCTGCTCCGCGGGAAGCCTGCTTCTCCCTCTCCCACTGCTGCTCCCCCACTCGTGCCCTCTCTCTCTCTCTCTCTCTCTCTCTAATAAGTAAAATATTTTTAAAAAAGATAAAAATTAAATTTAAAAATAAAGTCTTCTGTTCATCAGAGTGAACTTGGAAAACAGATGGAAACAAAACAGCCCCCATGGCAGACACCAGGGCGGTCCACTGAGTGGCCGCACCCGCACCCCTTCCTCGGCGGGGGCGTCCAGCCAGGGGAGGCCCTGTGACCCAGCGCAGCTCAGTCACCAGCAGTGTGGGCCCTTCCTCATCTGCCTGGAACACACATGTGAGGCCTAGAGGTTCCCCAGCCTCATGCCACCATGAGAAATGAGCAGGAGATATCAACCACCCGAGAACGCGGGCACGGCAGGAAGATGAGAAAGAGCACGGGTCTCGGGGGCACTGCAGCCCTGCCAACACCTTCATCTTAGCCCAGCACCAGAACTGTAAGACAGCAAGTGTGTATTATAAGCCAATAGGGTTATGCTGATTTGTTACAGCAGCAGGAGAAAACCAAAAGAGAACAGAATGGTGACAGGTGACAAAGCCATCCTCTTGGCTTATGGAAGCTTAACGGTCTCTGTGGTTAAGTCAACCTCACTTTTATCCGTTACACGGGGCTCTCCTTTGAGGACTCTACTTAAAAAGGCCCACCCCCAACTGTCTTAGTCCATCCCGGCTGCTATAACAAAAATACCACGCATGTGGCAGCTTATAAACAAAGACATTTATTCCCCACAGTTCTGGAGGCTGGAAGTCCAAGATCAAGGTGCTGGCAGATTTGGTATCTGGTGAGGGCCTCAGCTGGTGCCTTCTGCTGTGTCCCCACCCAGCGGAAGAGGCAGGGAAGCTCTCTGGTGTCTCTTTTATAAAGGCTCTAATCCCACCATGGGGGACTCCAGCCTCAGGACCTCCTCACCCCCTCAAAACCCCCACCTCCCAACACCCTCAGTCTGGTGGTTAGGGCTTCCTGTGAGTTTTGGGAGCGCACGAACATTCAGCCCAGCCGACTTACTGAGATGGCATAAATCTCCAACTGTGTCCTAGTTCCACACTTGTGTGGTTTTATTTTTTACCCTTGAGTATTGAGTCACCTAGAATTTATTTTATTTTGCTACAGACTGTAGAAAACTTTTTTTTTCTTTTGACAGAGAGAGAGAGAGCGATAGCAGGAACACAAGCAGTGGGAGTGGGAGAAGGAGGCTACCCGCCGAGCAGGGAGCCCGATGTGGGGCTCGATTCCAGGACCCTGATATCATGACCTGAGCCGAAGGTAGACGCTTAAGGATCGAGCCACCCAGGCGCCTGCAGAAAACTTTTTAAAAAAATAATCCACTGCTCCAATGACATTGGTTAAAAACCTATCCTATTCCCTACTGTTTTGCGGACACTGTCTTCAATACGTAGGAGATTACTCTATGCTGGGGCATTTTTTCAGTTTTCCATTCATTCCTCCATGTCTGTGCCTGTGACACAACATTTTAATTACAGAAAATGTTCCCTTTTGTATCCTAAAATGTTTCAGCAAAATTTAACGGACATTCGATAGCCCCCACGTTGCGACGGGGGTTGTGAGGAGTACGAGGCAGGCAAAGACAAGCACACTGGACTCCAAACTCGCACGAATCTTTAAGTTTACCTACAAAAATAAAAAAAATGAATTGGCGTTTATAATGTTCTTGGACAACAAAAACATGGTAAACTGGAATATTATTCAGTGAAATAGTCATCAGCTAAAAAATAAAGTGCTAGCTCACGCTGTAACACAGAAGAACCTTGAAACCATCACACTACGCGTGGGAAGCCAGTCATGAAAAAACACCTATTCTGCGGCGCCTGGGTGGCTCAGCCGTTGGGTGTCTGCCTTCGGCTCAGGTCCTGATCCCGGGGTCCTGGGATCGAGCCCCACGTTGGGCTCCCTGCTCCGAGGGAGGCCTGCTTCTCCCTCTCCCACTCCCCCTGCTTGTTCCTGCTCTCACTAACACTCCCTCTCTGTCAAATAAATAAAAATCTTTAAAAAAAAAAACACCTATTCTATGATCTCACTGACATGAAATGTCTAGAATCTAGAAGGGAGACAGAAGGGAGACTAGTGGTTGCCTGGGGTGGAGGATGGGAGACTGGGGTGACAGCAGAGGACTACAGGGCTTCTTCCTGAGGGGACAAACATATTCTAACGTTGACTGTGGCGACGGATACACCGCAGTACCACTGACTTTCACTCCTTAAATGAGGGAATGGTGTTGTACGTGAATTCTAATGGGTGAACTATTATTATATGTGAGTCTCAATGAAGATGTAAGTTTTTAAAGGCAGCACAGTTTCCACATGGTTCTCTTGGGTTGTCTCTTGGAACACAGCCACCAGGCTTTGAAGAAGCCCACATGTAAGCACTAGAACCACAGCTTCCAGGGGGTGACCCAGCTGATGATGGCCGGCATCAACCTCGACAGGCGTGAGTCACCAGCCTTCTTCTGATTTCACTCCCAGCCTCTGAACCTTCCCAGGGACACGATGGAAAAGAGACCAGTCTGACCCACAGAATCCAGGAGGGTTTGGGGGTTTGTTGTTGTTGTTGGAAAGAAAGAGTATCAGCCCACGGAGGTCATGCACAACCCCTCTGTCGTGGTCCCTTTCCAGAAATCTCTTGGAGGCTTCCCCGACCTTGGTAGAAGGTTTCCTGTTTTAAGAACCAAAGGGCCTGGGTAATTGCTCTAGGCTTTAGCTTCCTCGTCTCGGAAATGGGAATAAGAACGTGTAAGAAATGAGACAGCCATAAATGGCAGCAGCTTGACTACCGCCAAGTGACCTACAGACAGCATTCACCGGCACTATGCACCTACCTTGCTGGCTTGCACCCTTCCCTTATGTCTCAGTACACGAATAGGGCTCAAAACCAGCAGGCAGTGGGCCTCTGCCCTCTATGTGCAAGGCATTTCCATGGGTCTTGCAGTGTTACCACACGCTGCAGGCCCCTTGCCTCCCAGGAAAGCGCCATTGCATTAATTCTTCATGGGCACACCGCTTGTGTTTATTGAGCAGAAAATGTTCCAGCAAAGTTCAAGCTCAGACTAAAAGGCATCTCATTTTATCTTATTAAAATTGCATTTTTATCTGGTCTTGCATAGCCAAAAAGAAAAACAGGCTTCAGCTAAAGCCATTTTAAAAGAATAAGTAGCACATCATGAAATCATTCTTTAAAAAATATGTTCACCAATAAACTTTTTAATGAATTGTACTGCTTAAAAACACCACAGTAACTCATTGCTTTAAAGAGGACCCCAGTGATTCCTCACAAAAAGCAGATACACACGACATAATGCCACTTCTAGGCACACGCCATGAAAACCCCTTGTGTAAGGACGCAGGAGGCAGGTTCAGTGATGTCGCTAACGCTAAAAAGAAAAAAAAAATTAAGAAAAACTTTTATCCATCATCAACTGAAGAATGAATTCACATTATCCCTTTGTCCATTATCAACTGAGTAACAAATAAACAAACTGGAACATACACCTATAATGGAATACTAACCACAATAAAAACGAAGGAACTACAAGAACCAAGATCGGTGAACTTACAAGCCTACCATTGAAGAGTAATTTGAATATGCACAGTATGATGTCATCTATAAAAAGTTTTTAAAACGAGAAAATGAAACTATCTACTGTGTCGGATACATACATGGTGGTCAAAACTCCCAGCTCATGATGGTGATGAAAACAAACGGAGAATAGGATGGGAGCGGAGGGCTGGGGGTGGAGGGGACTATGGGGCCGGGAAGAGGATGCAACGGCTTCAACTCCGAAGAGCCAAAGTGCGCAAACAGTCCCGAGGCCCATCGGTGGGTGACCAGGCACACGCCGGAATATACCGTCAGCTTCCAACAAGGAATGAAGGGCTGACAGCCGCTCCCACGTGGATGAAGCCTGGAAACATCACGCGCAGCGAAAGGAACCAGTCACGAAGACCACATTCATATGATCCCACACACATGAATAAGCACATGTCCAGAATAAGCAAGTCTACAGAAACAGAAAGCAGATGAGTGGCAGCCAGGGGCTGGGGAGGAGGGATTGGGGAGTCACGGCTGGTGAGGCAAATGCTCTAAAATTGACTATGGTGATGATCGTCCAACTCCACAGACTAAAAACACTGAACTGTACACTTTAAGTGAGTGAAATAGAGGACAGGTAAATGAGGTCTCCACAAAGATGCTGAAAGGAAGGGAGGAAAGGGGTAGGGAGGGAGGGAGGGAGGGGGAGAGGCGGAAGAAGCAGGAGGGTCTCCTCCCTGACCGGGTGTCCGGGAAGGTGGCTGTGCCGCGGGGGGCGAAGGCTGGATTAAGGCAGCCCTTCTGCACCAGCCACCCGGCTGGCCTTTAAACAGGTCCGAGTCTACCTCTGCAGCCCCGAATGACAGAAGTCCCTAATGCCAGCAGCCCAGAACAAAACATTTTAGTAGCTTCAAGTGAAAATGACAGACATGATATCACCCCTGAACTAAGACCATGAAACTTCAGAAGGATTCATTGGTTATCAGCAGGCCAACAGTGGGGACCACAGCTACATTTTCTGGGCGGGCGGGTCTCCATCCTGTATATAGTATACGTAGTGTATAGCGTTAGCGACCACACAACTGGGTGGCCGGGAAGGACTCTCAGATGGAAGAACAAATGCACGAGAACTCACGATGAGTCATGGACCCAACCCTGTGGCCCCACAGAGGTTCCCATCCAGCTGAGAGGGAGGCGCCCAGACCAAGGACCGCACCCCACAGGGCAG